GAGTTTCCTCTGTGTGGACGTAGTCATTCTGTATTTAATTTACCAGTACATATTGAAAATATACAAAAAATAGTTTTGCAAGAAAATGATATGTTTAAAGCAATAGGAAACTCTGAAATAGCATTAACGGCTGGGCTTAAATTGAAAAAAATAGGTAGTCGTGCAAAAAAGTTAGATACGTGAATATTCCAGAATATTACTGTTTTAATTCGACGGTAAACATTTGGGTTAAAAGAGTAAGAGTTGGGCGAAATTTAACAATAGAACGACTAAATATAGCGTAACGTGAGGACTCTAAGCTTTTTTTTTTTTTTTTTAATCAATTTTAAATCAGACGAGTGGAGCTAAATCTTTCGAAAGTTTGAGAACAGTTAATAACATACATTACAGTACGTTTAGAGATACTGCTATTGCTTTAGGTTAAGTTAAACACGACTCTCAAATATATAAAATATTTAAAGAACCTTGTAATGTTATGCTGCCATATCAACTGAGAAAATTTTTCGCATAGTTTTTAATATCTAAAGCCGTTTGTGGTATGTCTATTTTAGAACCACTCCAAAAATTTTTATCCAAGATTTAAAAGACGATAAACAAAATAATGCTCTATTACGTTTAAATAAAATCTTTTAATTTGAAGAAAAATCATGTAAAGATTATGGATTACCAGAAATAAATGAAACAGTAAAATCTTAAAATATTGAGGGCTATGAAACTGTACCTGATTTAGTAGGAAATTGTAAGTATTTACTTGTTAACCTAAATAGTAATCGAAAAATAATTTTTAATGAAATTATTAACAGTGATACAAAATCATATTTTGTTAATAGTTTAGGAGGTTTTGTAAAAACATTTTCATACAAAACATTCATTTTTTATTTTTTTAAAAAAAAAAGGTTACATCTATGACTTGGACAGTAATTGCTCTAACTTTATTACCTAGAAGAATCTGCTGCCCCGGGGAAGAAAGTCTTTAAGTGCAGTTTATTCACAACTGAGAAAATCGAGTAAAACTAATGGTATTTAAGATACGATAAAAATAGAATAATTTAAAAGCAGAAATAATGATTCCAGGGTAAATACGGCATGATCTTTTTATTAATCGCAAAAAAAATCGATTTTCAAACGGGAAACGTGATAAACTGTACTTATACCTTTTTATCAGCTTAATTTCCTTCGGGAGAAAGGCGTTAAGTGCACTTAACTACTTTTTTGGCTGCAAAGAACCCCCTGAAACCGATGCATTTACAACGCAAGAAAGTCATAAGGTACAATTATTCTTTGCTAATCTCAGTTAAGATTCGTGAAACCATCACGACTGATTTTTACTGTTTATTATTAATTAATACGTTAAATGAAAAATGTACAAAATTATCAGTTAATACGTTTAATACTCAATCACAATCGAGATGAAAATCTGTTTTCAATGAATTTTAATTTTTTTTTTTTTTTCATTCATAAATTACAAAAAATCAATTGAGAAGTGATGCTGTTTGCAGTTGCTAGATATCGTGAAGTGGAGTTTTGATCAGTAAATACAAATTATTACATGAAAATAATAGTGGTTATACTTAATGCAGTTGAGAAATATTACACATCAACACTAAATGATATAGTATAGGCATTCATTGTACATAAAAAAAATGTATACTCGCTCGAATAATAAAAAATGAAAGNACAATCGAGATGAAAATCTGTTTTCAATGAATTTTAATTTTTTTTTTTTTTTCATTCATAAATTACAAAAAATCAATTGTATTAAGTACTTGTTTGAAAAAAAATTTAATAGATATGCATAGTTTTGATCAGTAAATACAAATTATTACATGAAAATAATAGTGGTTATACTTAATGCAGTTGAGAAATATTACACATCAACACTAAATGATATAGTATAGGCATTCATTGTACATAAAAAAAATGTATACTCGCTCGAATAATAAAAAATGAAAGAATTAAAAATCATTTTTTTTTTTATCTATTATTTCTTCATTATCATATTTAGTTACGAGATCAGCAACGTTACAGGTTGTCAAAATCGTCTTCGACCGTGAGGCATCAAGGGAACTAACTTATTAATGATATCTGTTTTTTTTGTTCCGGTATGCCACGGCAAATTTCTTGATTCTTAGTTTATTGGAAACCATGTTTAATTACAGCTGTCTTAAGAAAATCTATTTGGAACCAGGTGTCGTCATAAGAATAATTATATTTTAAATTAAAATTACCTCGAACGAAGTTAATTCGTTTCACATCTCGAAGTTGAGGGCGATTCGGATTTTTCTTTATTTTATAAGCAGACGATTCGTCAGGCCAAAGTAAAAAATCATTAGGCCCTAAAATTTTAACTAACACTTTACCCGAGTTAGCTTCCTGTACGGAAGTCTGGAAATGTTGAAAATCATACAGATTACCCTTCTTTGTCATAGACAACTCAACTTGATGATGAAAGTGATCTGCTGACATGAATGTGTGTCCAGATTAAAAAAAAAATTCTATCGTACTTGTTTCCACTTCTTGTGAGTTAATTAAATACATTAAGAAAGATAATATAGTCCAATTCTTATTTTGAGCAGAGCAGTCGTCTAACCATAAACAAGTAGCGTTTTTATCACGATTCATTAAAAAAAATTGGTGAAAGGTACTAGTAATATTTTCGCATTTTCTTTCAGAAATAGCTTCATGCTATAAAACAGCAAGAGGTTTTTGGTTTGATGTACCCAAAGGTACAAAATTTTGGTTAAATGCAACCAAACGCTTGGTAAACATGACAACTTTAAAGCCCTTCATTCGAGGTAACATTATAACCTTTTGGAAATCAACGGAATAAAAATCAATATCCATTGATGATTGCTTTTGTTCAACGTGTTCTTGATATTTAGCCCGAGCTCTCTGATATTTCAAGCGTTGTCCACTGTAAATTGTGCAAGTTTCACAATCAGGAGACAAAGTTTTTGTATGTTCAGAATTATGTAACTTGAAGTGTTCGCATACTTCACACTCTTCGTTACCTAATTGTATAAAAGAAATGTCCATCGGTGCAATAACAGAACAATACCTTTCATAAGATACTTCATACTGAGCATACTTTTCAGTAAACTTTTGATGAATCGCAGTTATTGTCAGTTTGTGTTATAAGTATCGCCTATTTGGAGCGTGAGCTCTTCGATAATGGGAGACTGTCGTATTAAATTCTTCAAAGTGATTTTTTATAATAGTAACGACGATATCTTGTTCAGTTCTCCTTGTCTTACCGCGGTTATCTGGCTTTGGAATAAGTGTAACTTGATCAACATTTTCCAATGCAAATTTTGAGTGCCTTATCATTATTTGCTTTACAGCCAATCGTTGTCAAAAAAAGTCTTACAAACCTTCACATCGACATTATTTACTCTTGCAAAGAATAGTTATACTGGTATTCTCGTGCTTTTTCAGATCATTTTTGTTAAATTTGATTATACACATCTGTAATATCTGAGTTTGTCAATGATTTAAACTGTACTCAACTTTTTAAATATAAACCCGAGTGTACCTATTCTCTATGATTTAAGTAGTTGAAGGAACATTTGGTTCCAAACTAATCGAGGTTACATTGTCGTCTGCTTTGCACTTACCCCCTCTTTTCTGTGTAAGCAAAGTCCCAGCTCATGATATGACCAGCGCAAGAACCTCCTTAAGTACATAACGACTTTTTATTTTGGAATATACGCGCTCTCTTATCTACTTTATAGTGTAAAAAAGGCATGAAGTGCTCTTACGCCTTCTTGGGCGTAATTTTCGAAATTCCATAGGGATGGAGAACTGATGATGTTCGGAAACGAATTTATGGAGATGGTATAAATAGCTGCCTAAACAAAGTAACTCTAACAAATCATAACGAACTTTCGTACACTTTAAATAATAAAATTTTCAATTTTATTGAAGGAAAAGATTACATTTATTACAGCATAGTATATGCAAAATATGAAGATAGTAAATGTTTCTAATAGTCCTAGCTTTTTCCATGACAATCAGTAAATCGCCAGGTCAAAGTTTTGATAGATTAGGAGTTAACTACAAAATACCTAGGTTTTCTCATGGTCAACTGTACGTATTGGTATCAAGATGTAAAAACCCTTAAAATATATTTATACAAAGTGGTTTGAAGAACTAAGCAAACATTGTTGCACAGCATAGGTGATGTAATAAATTTAAATTAAAAATAATTCTTTAATCGGGTAATTAATAAGCCGATAAATGGCTGAAAAATATAAAAAAAATTTATTATAATTACTTATTTCTTATTGATTTAGTTATTTATTCATTGAACCAAGTGTTTTAAGATACATTTTATGCATGGTGTGAAATTACACAAAAACTGCTGGAAATACATCGTGACACATTAAAATGAAAATAGTACCATGCAGCATACTTTTATTACAATAATTATAATAACATCCAAATAAAGATCTGATATGAAACATTATTGCGTTGTCAAGTTTCAGTAAAACTATTTCCAGACTATGATGTGTAATAGTTTGATGACCTACTAAAATACACAAAATTAACACAATTGATATAGTGTAAAATACTTGGTTAAATAAACGCAATTTTAAGTGTATTTTCATTTTTTTGTCCAAAGTAGTTAAGTTTACGTAATTATTTATTCAATTTAACCGCTACTTAAAAAAAAAAGAGTTAGAAATCAAAATTGTTCTCTGCATGAAAGTTATTTTGATTAATAAATAAATAGTACTAAATGTAACTTAACAGTTACAAAAATTTAGCTGAAATAAAGTTGATTCCCAGTTAAAATAATATTTAGGGAAAAAGTGAAATAAAACATTGATTAAACAAAGCTCGTTGTATTTGTTATCTTGCAATGGCAGTAATTATTTGTATCAATAATAAATAATTAAAATAGTTATGTTGCATTTTAAATTAACTCACAGTATATCATTTGCAACTTTGGGGCTGACCGAGTTATTGCGAAATAAAATACAATGACTTTTTTTTTTAAGGTCAAGATAAAGAATGCTGAACTAGTTACTTTCAAATGTAAAGATGCTTTGGTTGCGGATAAAGATAACTACAGTTCTGAAGACGATATTGAAGCAAGCCCAGGATACCAGTTCAAGAATAAGTCGGACAGATCTGAAAATGTCAAGTTTTTTCTTAAAAGTAAGTTATTCATGGAATTGTTTGATTGTGTTGTCAAAAAAACAAAAATTAAATTTTTTTTTCATATAATGTTTCAGGTGGTTGTATACCAGATGCTGCAATGATTCACGCTGCAAGAAAGCGTAGACAACAAGCAAGAGAATTGGGTCATGAACATATTCCATTGGATGAACAGTAATTTTATGACGAACTATACATATAGCCTGTATAATTAAAAATTTGTGTCAACAACTTTCATGATTGTACTTTTTCAGAGAGGACATTTGTAATTCTAGATTAGTTCTCAAAGATGATCGTAACCACAGTGATGATGATTCCCACGAACGACTTAACATGTCTGTTGATACAAACACATTGGATAAAGAAAAACGACGGCAAGCTTTTATTAACTCACAAGTACCACTTATTAAATGTAAGTTGTGAGATTTTTCATTCCCAAATTATTTTTTTTGTTTAGGACAAAAATGACTTATTTTAATGATCCATGCCAGAAGTGTTTTACCTTGTACAGTGAGGATCGTGCACGTAAAATTAAATGGTTAATCTTTGGGTTGTAAGAAAGACTAGAGCACTTACAAGAAAGCCTTCCCAACCTGACCCAACCGATTTCAATAATGTAGTTAGCAAAAAAATAAGAGACACGTATATTTTTATTTAAGCCAAAATCCCGCCAAAGAAAAACAACTCCTAAATATTATCTTTGAAAATCATTTTTTTTTTGTATCATATCTCGGCTTCCAACTAATATTTTTTAATAAAGGTGGTTTACCAATAAACTCAAATGTCTCACGAATTGGATGAAATTTCAAAAGATGGTTTTTGAAGTCCCAATGTTCCTACGCTTGAAATTTCAGATCCACTAAGCGTTAAAAATTCAGCATAAAAGCTGTGCGAACATTATACTCACATTAAAATAGTAATGGATTTTTATCAAAATAAAATAAACATAATTGTAGAAACGTCTACTACAGTGAAATAAGACTGACCAATTTGTTGCTAAGATCACAAGCTTTTTTTCTCGTACTTATAAAGTGAGTCTTACCAAGATATTGAATTTATTTCATTATTATTAATATTGCTACATGATTATTAATTTTTACAGAAAGAGCTTCGACGGCTTAGTGGTAAGCATGCTAGCCCCCTAGCCGGAGATACTCGAGGTGTCGTGGGTTTCAATCCCGTCGAAAAGTATCGAGATTTTTTCTCGGTCTTTTCCGATGGCATAAGCATACTACTACTACTACCACTACTACTACTACTATTACTACTACTACTACTACTACTACTACTACTACTACTACTACTACTACTACTACCACTACTACTACTACTATTACTACTACTATTACTACTATTACTACTACTACTAATACTACTACTACTACTACTACTACTACTACTACTACTACTACTACTACTACTACTACTACTACTACTACTACTACTACTACTATTACTACTACTACTACTACTACTACTACTACTACTACTACTACTACTACTACTACTACTACTACTACTACTACTACTACTACTACTACTACTACTTCTACTATCTTCTCACATACATGCATCATACTCCCACTAAACAAACACAGGTATACTTGGGGATTGTCCCGGGTTGCGGGTGGCGGGGCCTTTCCCGGGCTTTCGTTGGAGGCCTGGTGGTGGGTGCAGCTGGACGATGAGGCCCAGGTAAGTCTGGGTTACCACATCTGATATGTCTGTATGCCTCATAAACAAAAAAGACGTGGTGGGCTGACTAATCTAGGCTTACTAACACTGAGGAGGCTATATGGCCGCACTTTAGTGCCTTACGCCAGCTCATTTTGTCAGGTTGTCTGTGCCGGTCGTGGGACTGTAAATCTGCCGCTCGTCTCGCTGGGATGACTGTAGAGTACCAACATATACATGCATTACACATGAACACCATTCTTAGACTTGCTACTCAACGCCAGGGCAGTCTACGCAGGTGGGGCTGAAGGAGAGTGGCGACTCCCGGCCAGCCCGAGCAAGTAGCAGTTCTCTCTGGTAACAGAGAGGGCTGTTGCCCTGGTTTTAAACCCTTTCCAAATACTTATTTCTAGGAAAAAAGAGTAGTGCTGGTCTTCGCGGGTCAGTACGACACTAAAAACGATGCCAAAATGAAAAACGTCAATGCAAAACTAGTACCTCAGGCGATAACCTCTCTGAGAGAATCCGCCGGCAGTTCCGATCCGGTGAAAGCCCGGGTGACTGTCGCAGGCCTTACGGATTCTGGGGGGGGGGGGCAAAGACGTGTCTCATGGCCAACAGGAACTGCTAAACGTTCCATGGCCTTTTCTAACGGACAAAGAACGAAGAGGAAGCCTGTCGAGTATAGGCACTAACGACACCGAGGACAGCAACGTGTCAGTATTTAGCAACCAGACCCGGGAGGAGCTTGCCTCTTTAGAAGAAAGTGTTGCTATGCTCAGAGTAAAGCGACAGCAACTTGCTGATAAAGTCCAATCAGCAACGGAAGACTCTACAGAGACGCTACAAATAATTAACGATAAGTACGGCATTACAGCGAACGCTGTTAGAAATGGGCTCAAAGCGGCGCTTAAGCATCTTCAAGAGGCAGAAGTGCTGAGAAAAGGCTGTCTTACTGAAGAAGATGTATATACCAACGCTTGAAAGTCGTCATTTGAATCCCTGCAGTGGAGGGGACAAAGGCGATATAATTTTCGACGGCATGTACAGAAAAAAATCCTGAATACTGCCCTAAAAAAAATAGAACGAAGTAAAAGAAACAGGAGCCCATCGGACAGCCCTGAGAAACGCCAGCAAATCATGCCTCCGAAGAAAAAGAAAACAGGTAGTGGCAAACAAGAAGAAATTCCCCTGAATGATAAAACAAGCCAGAAGAAAAAAGTGGACGCCACAACAACAGTAGTAGTGAAGATGGCTGAAGGACAGACCTTTGCAACGGTGTTGAAGACGATGAAGGCGAACTTTGACCCTGATAAGGCTAACGTGGCAGTCTAAAGTGTTGTTACTACAAAAAAAGGAGACATACTTATTAAGGCCAAAGGTGTAGAGAATGCTACTGCATTCTCACAGCAAATTGAAAAGTTGGTAGCCGGACAGGGTACTGTCAAAATGAGCAACAGAAAAGTGAAATTAGAGGTCCGAGACCTGGATGCCATTGTAGAGGAAGATAAAGTCAAAGAGGCTTTCGCTAGGACTTTTGGACATCAGAGCTAGGAGCCAGAAGTAGCTCTCTTAAAGCCAAATGCCAGAGGACAGAGGCTGGCTTTAATAAAGGTGGACGAAGCATCTGCCAGACAAGTAGAAAAGGAAGGCAGGTTACGAGTTGGCCTTGTAAGCTACCGAATCCAAAAAAGAATTGAAGTAACAAGATGTTACAAATGCCTCGGATATGGACACGTTTCGGGCAACTGTAAGAACGAAAACAGATCCAAGCTTTGCTTCCGATGTGGAAGCTCAAACCACCGGAAGAAAGAGTGTCCAGGCCCAGCACGGTGCTTCCTTTGCCCAGCAACGGACAATAAGCACGAAACAGGCAGCGGGAGCTGCCCTTTCTCTAGAAGAGCCCTAAAAGAGGCCAGGGATAAGGCCCAAGCAGGATCAAAATGAGGCAAAAAGGCCCTGAGTTGAAAGTTAGACTAATGTGGACCCACGCTGCGCTGGGTACTTTTTACCTATCAGCAAGGGAAAGCATTAAGCTTATAGTGGTGCTGGCTAAATAGTCGGCCTACTAAGAAGCGCTAGACAAGGTGCTGGTCCTCAGGGACCCCGAGTCCTTTTTAGGACTCGAGAGCATCAGCACCCCAACAAATAGTGGCGAGTTAGCTCGTTAATGCTGTGAGACGCGATGGTCTCTCTGATGGCTCCACCCTCAAGTAATGCTAACGTGGTTCCGGGGTGGATGAAAAGCCACGTGGCATGGGGGGGGTTTTAGTGGGTATGGGTGGTCCAATAAAAAAAAAATCCACCGAGTCCCACACTACCGCTGTTCCTGCGGTGTACCTCAATGCATTTCCCCTCTCTACACAAAAAAAAAAAAAAAAAAAAAATTTCTACTGATAATGAAGCTACCTCGAGAGCTTACCTTTCAAAAAAAGTCTGAACTCGAGGCCCAGGAGCACTGGCCGGCCCACCACTTGCCCGACCTCGTGCAGCAAAAAAAAAAAAACTACCACTACCACCACCATCACCACCATCCCGGCTGGGGTTTTTGCTGGTTTCTGTATATCGGGCGCTTTCTTGCGGGCCAACAAAAACTAGTACTCGTCGTGTATAGAAGTAAGCGGCGGTCATAACATTCTTCTCAGATACATGCATCACACTTTCAGTAAACAAACACAGGGATACTGACGGATTGTTCCGAGTTGCGGGTCGTGGGTCCTTTCCCGGGCTTGCGTTGGACGCCTGGCGGTGGGTGAAGCCGGACGATGAGGCCTAGGTAAGTCTGGGTAACCACATCTGATATGGCTGTACGCGTCATAAACAAAAAAGACGTGGTGGGCTGACTAATCTAGGCTTACTACCACTGAGGATGCTATACGGCGGCACTTATAGTGCAATGTATACGCCAACTGATTTTTGCGGGTTGTGTGCGCTAGTCGTGGCATTGTGTGTCTGCCGCTTGTTTCGCTAGGATGACTGTAGTGTACCAACATATACATACACTTCACACAATTACTTTTTTCACACTTCTTACACAACGTAAGGGCAGTCTCCGTGGGTGGGACTGAGGGACAGTGGCAACTCCCGGCCGGCCCGAGCAAGTAGTGCCTATCTTCGGCAATGAAGTGGGCTGCTGCGACGGTTTGCACCCTTTTCAGATGCTTATTTTTGAAAAAAAAGGGATTGTTGGCTTTCACTGGTCAACACAATTTCAAGAAGAACTTGAAATTAAGAACTTCAATGTTAAACTAGTGTCCCAGGTGCTAACCTCTTTGTGAAAATCTGCCGGCAGTTCCGATGCGCTGAAAGCCTGGGTGACTGCCGCTGGCCCCACGGATTCTGGGGGGGGGGGGTACAAAGACGCTATTCATGGCCAGCAGGGACTGTTAAATGTTTCCTGGCTGTTTTCAAGCAAGGGACGATGAGCAAATGTCTTGAGTATTGGCAGTAACGGGAGCAAGAAGAGTAACGTTAGTGTCTTTAGCAACCAGACTTAAGAGGAGCTCGAGTCGATGGAAGTTTATGGTGCAGAGCTGAGAGCAAAGTGAAAAGAAGAAGTTAAGAAAGTTTAACTTGCAACAAGTGAGCTTAAATAAATGCTTGAAGCTATAAGCCAAAAGTATGAGAACACTGCTTATGCTATTAAAAATGGCATTAAAGCTGCACTCGAACACCTCAAAGACGCCCACAAGACTAGAATCAATGTCTCTTTTACAGACGAGAGATTTTTTAATAGTC